CTTATTAACTCCTCGCCGCTGTAGCTCAGCTGGCAGGCTGTCAGCTCCAGCGGCTTTGTTGTTTTTCATCCGCGTTATTGATATACGTACCTCGTCATAGTCAGGCGGTGAAACGTCGACTCGGGTTCTTCTTCCCCACAACTTCCATTTAGTAGGGCGGAAAAGTGTTCCCTCCATAATTTAAGTACGCTCTGGACATCAGTTACTAGGTCGCCATTATTGTTCTTACAGGAGTACGCCCCGGTCTTTAAACCTTCCGTAAGTCGCCTCTCTGGTAAAATTTGCGGGCATTCTTCCTATCGGCCAGCATTTCAAGCTCTTCGCACTCACGTATTTCGGCCTCTCTCTTCTTATTGCGGTAAATGCATACGTCACGCTTCCCTCTTCTGATCCCTATGACGGTCCCACATAGCGCACGTTGCGCCCGATCGCAGCGTGGCCCTGTAGGCGGCATCTTTTTTCTCTGCAGCTTCCTTACACTCCTAATTGTACCAGTTGTTCTTTCGGGCTCGCTGAAATCCGACTACTTCTTCTGCGGCGGTACTTAATGAGCGTGAAATGTGGTTCCGCTGCTTGCATATGTTGGTTTGTTGAAGAGTGCTCTCTGAGAGCAGGTGTGAGAGTCGAGTAGCGCAAGCGCTGGCTGTCTGTAGTGATTGCAGCTTTTCGACGTTAAGCTTTCCTTGCATATTTCGGCGCACATTTTTTGCTGCACAGAGGCGGGTGCGTATCTTGGCTGCAACACGATAGTGGTCCGAGTCGATGTTTGGGCCTCGGATTGTGCGTACGTCTAAAACACTGGAAGCGTGCCTTCCGTCTGTCACAACATGATCGATTTGGTTTCTCGTTTTTCGATCCGGAGACAGCCACGTAGCTTGATGGATCTTTTTATGCTTGAACCTAGTACTACATACTACCATTTTTCGGGCCCCGGCGAAGTCGATCAGCCTCAATCCGTTGTCGGACGTTTCGTCGTGGAGGCTGAATTTTCCGACGGTGGTTCCAAAGATCCCATCCTTGCCCACCCTGGAATTGAAGTCGCCAAGCACGATTTTGCAAGAGATCCTTGGATGCGTCATCCTTCTCTTCCGTCGGGGCATGGGCGCAGATGAGCGAGATGTTGAAGAACTCGGGTGAACGACAGTACTCGGCGACGGAGTCTCTCTCCCACCACAAATCCAACTCAGAATTTGCGCTCCTTTAAATGGCAGCTGTAGTAGACGTCGCAAGGCCCAGACATTGCTTGCTTTGCCCCGTCCAACGCATTTCTTGGATGGCGGTGAGTCAGCTTTTGTCCTTACGAGGACATCAACCAGCCGGGCAGAGGCACCTTCCCCATTAAGGGTCCGGACATTCCAGGTGCATGCCCTCAAATCGTAGTCCCTTAAACGTTTGCCGTGGTCGTCATCATAAGGGGTGGTCTCATCCGAGGCTTTGCCTTGCTTCTTCACTGGAGCGTAAATAAAATTATGACGGTGGTGTCAGTCTTTAGTTTTATGAGAACGTCAATCAGCCGGGCATAACACCGGACATTCCAGGTGCATACCCTCAAACCATAAATCTTAAAAAGTTTGCCATAATCGTAATCTTGTTTAAACTTTTCGTTTGAAGGATTTTTACGTGGTGGGTAGCTAGCCCTGCGTAAAACTACATTCTGTGGCTTCACAAATTTAATGGACACAGTTATAAAACGTGCAGCCAGCGCCTGGACAAAAGCATGCTTGCAGCTGCACCTCCTGGTGAAGAGACGCTGTTGACTTCGATTATCGATTATCCATGGTATTTTCAATTTCTCGTTCATTAAGATAGTTCTAATTGTTTTAAGTCGCTCATCCTTCTACAAACAAACAGTTGTAGAAGGATGAACGACTAAAAATTGTTCACAGTCGCTTATTGAACGGGAAATCCACATTTATAATACCATGGAAAAGCGATAATCGAATAACTAACAGTTGTTTATCTACTACTAGTTGACACTCGCAATAGGGGTGACTTTCATTTACCGACGAACTAAAGTTTCCATACTCCACCTAATACCACATTTGAAGGCATCGCGTACCACCATAGGTATGTGCACCACAGTTTGAGAAACTCTGTGGCATTAATTTTTATGGAAATTATTGCATTTGAATTAAATATCGTCACCCGAAATTCAATAAAACTTAACAAACAAAGTCGCTGAAATTAAACAAGTCGTAACTAATACAAAAAAAATTCAGTTCTTGATTGATATGATGGACTTCATCGAATTGCAACTCCCACATCAGTTAATAAAAAACCTTAGTCACGACTTTTTCCATTTCAGTTACGATGTTGTTACGTCTTTTTGCATTTCTGGTGACGATATGTGTGTATGTATCTTCTCTTTCTACGTTTTCCCCCTTAGCTTTTCATAAAATAACCGCAACTCCGTTTACTCTCCCAAAATGTAAATAAGCTATTTTGATATTTTTCAACACATTTTATGTTTTATTTGCAGAATAGTTTCATTTTGAAATACAAGAATTTTTGAAATTAGAAAAAATTAATCTTAAAAATTAAAGTTGTATGCAATAATGTAAAATATACATTTATCTTTATCAAGTGCAATTATGCGTCAGTTATTTCATAAAAAATATTCCTTTGCAAGCAACTAAGATAAAATTGATTGCGATAAAACTAAAAAAAAAGTGAAGACACATTAAAATATAGGAAATAGCTTAAAAACATATGTACGTTCACTTTATAATTGAGTAAAATAAATGTTTTGAAAAAAACACACACCTCCATCATAAGAAGAGAAGCAACTAACAATTTTTTTTTCATGTGTTCACATTTTCTCCATATTCGAATTACTGTTTTCACATCCATATCATTCAGCGACTTTTTACCTTTCGCATTTGCTTTTGTTTCATTTTTATTTAGACTTTTCATCTAACTTCCCGACGCTCTTCAATAGTTTCCATTTTAAATATGCAACTGCCATTTCAACAAAAATCATTACAATTAATAATTTTATTTTTATTTGCTTTGTGTTTTGATATATATATTTTTTTGTTTTGCTTGTAATTCAATTAAATGTATGTATGCCTTATATGGCTACGCGTTAAACTAGACAAAAAGTAGATTATATTTAAACTTAACAAATATTACGCTCATTTTAAATGTTTACATACGTATGTATGTATAAATATATTTCAATAATTATAATGAAATTTTTAATGAATATAAGGTATTGTGCATTTTTATTTAATTTTGCGCATTTTTTTCTTAGGAAAGGAGTGACGTTTGAAAATAAAGCCACCGTGAATATTAATTTTAATTGATTTATTAATTTTTTAATCTTTCTGAGGCGAAATTCAAAGCATTTTTCAATGCCGCCATAGGTGGCATTTTCCACTGCTTATTTATTGTTTTTTTTCCGCTACTCCTAGCGTTCGCGCTAAACAAATTCGCATACGTTATTTGCCATATTAAAAAAAAACCTTACACTTAACGGTATCAAACTTAATATGACGATATAAAAAAAGTAATATTTATAACCATACGAGCAACATTAATAATAACCATAAAAAAGTGTAAACTTACAGGAAAAGTGTATAAACTGTAAAGTTGACTTAAACTTTTATGCGTTTCAAATTGTGCAACGAATGCGCAGCGCTTAATGGGAAAAAGTTGGTCGAACCGATAACGAGCAGTGGCATGCATATACATACATACATTTCTTCTTAATCTTCAATGGAGTCCTAAATTTGTTTATAATAAATTTAACACTTTTCTTTGCTTCATCTGTCTTTTATCCGTTTAATCTACGCAATTTTATTAATTTTTAATTTTTAGTGCGACAATTAATGATCACAAATAATTACGTAATTATTTAAAAATTCAACACAACAAATACTTTCTCGTTTTCATTACGTGAATGATTCTCAATTATGTACTACATACATTCTTTCGTAAAACATTTGTTCATTACCATTTCGAAAGTGAAGGACTTCTGTTTTTGCTTTTTATGTGTTTCCGAAAGTCGATTGATTTCCATGTCCTTCTTTTTGCGCACCTACTACGCATATTCTTGTGTTATCTGTCTTTGCATTTTCTTCTTTGTTTTTTTTTGCTTTAAATTTTTTTTCGATAACTGTTATTTAAGCAAAAAGCTCCAAATAAATACATATATATATATTTTAATTATAACCTTCGAATCTGTATATTCTCATTCCACTTATGAAAATCTAAAATTGTGTTATGATTTAATACGAAAATGCAGTTTTTAACTTTTTTTTAGTTTTTTCTAAACTTTTATTGGGTTCTTGTGGTATTTTTTCTGGGTGTATAATTTATTCTTTATTTAATTTTTTTTTATTGATTGTGGTATTTTTACGATTCTTATTTTTAAACATTGATTTTGTTACAATAGTAAATTTTATTTTACTCTTTTATTTGTTTTGTTTTTGCACATACAATACACTTACATATGTGCATATGTACACTTTGGGTCAGAAATATGACATATATGTATGTTTGTATGTATGAATGTTTGCGGTGTTTCTCAGCTGTTGTTTTTTTTCAAAGTTCGTAGTTTTTTTTTCAAAACTGTACTATCGTTTTAGCTGCTCTTTTGTCGATTTGCTTCGTTTAAATATATAGTAGATTGAAGATCACATACATAGATACTATTTAAATAATTTTAGGGTAAATACGCGTGTAAGTATATATGTAAATGAGATGTAGAAAAATGTTTAGACATACATATGTATGTAAGACATGAATCTCTATATGAAAGTATATGCGTTTAATACGTGTTAATATGAATGTAAGTATATATACATTCATATATCCATTTGCAAATATATATGTACGCGTTTTAAGGTGCGTATCATTCTGTAGGTACCCAGCAGTGAAAAGCCATACCAGTTAGCAAAAAGCTACGAGCTAAAGCGGCGGTCAACGTGTTCGACAGTGTCGAACATCTTATGCGATCAGCAACATCTGCCTTTGGAGTGATAAAGCCAAAGCTAAACACATTAATTGCGGTTCCTATAAATGTCGGCTTGGGCGTCGCGTGAGGGCTAGCACTTCCGGTTCAGAGATTGCGAGTTCAAGTAAGTTATGTAATGTGAATTATTTCAACTCAAATGTAAATAAATTATAAATTATTGAGTTTAATTTTATTTGAAAAAAAGAATACCATAAAAGTTATACATGAAATTTTCTTCAAATATTCTTCTTTTTAAAATATGACCTTTAAAAGTGACGAAAAAATGCATTAAAATAAAAAATAAAATTGCTGCGCGAACTAGTTAAGTTGAGAAGCTAACTGGTCATAGTCTATATTCTAGTCCGCCACTAATGGCTTTACCTGCAGGGTATTCATGTTAAAGACTGTGTGTAGGTATGTAGTCATTGTTTAAGATTCGCTTCTGCTTCAGCTTGTCGCAAGCAAAGCGCTTTCTTTAGCTTAAGATATGTACATATGTATGTCTGTATGTTTGGGTAAATTGGCACAAAGATACGAGAATAGCATTCGAAATTTTATAAAAAGCGAAACATAAATTTTCCGCACACTGTTGGCAGAAAAACGAACAGTCCGTTCCGAAAGAACTAACAAAAAAATTTAAACATTTTCGAACAATAAATGATCTACCGAGATTTCGATTAGCGGTTGATTATACTAAGAACATAATACGTTTTGAAGAGCATTGATATTTCATTGAGATCAATTTGAAAATGTTTTTCGTTAATTTTCCTATAGATGATTGCCAACGTTCAAATTGACTTTAAAAACGCTTTCTAACACTTTCACGAACCAATGCTAAGTTCTGTACTTAAAATAAAAGTCGTCATGGTTGTTGTGGTTGGCGTGCTTCGTTTTTGTAAGTTACATTCTCTATTGTTTCTATTGTTTTTGTTTTTACTGCGTACGAGTTTTAAAAACATAGGAACTTTTTTACATACGTACATAGTTACTTGAAGCATGTCTACACATGCAGAGATTATCCTCATTTTCGAGCTAACTCACTAAACTGTGATTCAAGAAACAGAATACAAAATTCATCCCTTGCTAATAATGATGAAACAATCCCAGATTAAGCCGATAACTTTTCGTTGTTCAACCTAGTTTTATCGATTATTTTTGTGAAGAGTAACAGAAATATCAAATGTGAAAGTAGACACAGACGGAGGATAGCAAGAAAGACAAATGTGTAAAAGTATTTTCAATAAAATATTAATTTCGCAGAAACGGGCCTGATTGACATTGCATTCATATGTAAACGTTCTTTTAGACTACCTTTAATTGGTTTTGAGTTTTTAAACCGTAACGATTTTAATTTTGAATACAGTTATTTTGTATGTGGCTTATTTCGACTGCGGCATGCCAAGATTTTGTTGTATTAAAGAATACTTGCACTATAAAGTTTTTAAATGAATGGAAACACACAAAATGTACCTTCATTAACACGGATGGAGTGCCATAATTTGCTATAAAAATTTTAAAATGTTTTTTTATTTAATTCAAATTTTTTATTTTACATGAAAATACACCTTAACCCTTAAACAGCTGCATTCCAAAATATAAAAAAATAAAAAATTCTAACAATTCTGCTAAATCACGAAAAATGAACTCGCATGATTGGTGTCCCCTACTTCAACTACAACACTGCATTTTTGGTTGTTTTTCTCCTCCTATTGCATTGTATTTTCATCTAGTGTGTATGTATGTGTGATTGACTAGGCAACCTGCGATTATTGCAAATATGGCGTTCAGCTCAACTTTAAAGCGCATAATAAACTGTGGCTCCTTAAGTTTTCTGAAAAAAAAACTGAAAGCGACGCACCTCTTGGTTCAATAAATGCGTCACGAAAGTTTCGCCTTTAATTGTGCCGCATTTACGTATGTGTGTGTATGTTTGTATGCAAGTGAGTGTGTGTTTACATTCTATTAAATCAATTCATGTTTCATAATTTCCTGTACTTTAATTTGTCTCTTTTTACTAACACTTTGTTGTATACGAGAATATTATGACTGTTATATGTTTTTAGTTTATTTTTATCTTTCATCAGCTACGGTTTTTCGGCTTTGTAAATTTCATACATTTAAAATTTAATTCAATATTATTTTTTCAATCACCTTTTTTATACTTGCTAATTAATACACGTTCTAAACGATATTCTATGTTTTTAAATATATGCTTGTATGCATGTATGTGTGTATAATTTTTTTTTTCAAATATTTTATACTAGTTTTATAATTCCTGTTTAATTTTAAACTCCTTTCTTAGTATATGCATCAATACATTTTTGTTTTTGCATTGTTTTTATTTTGTTTTATTTTAGCTTTTAGGTTACTTAGTTAAAATGATTTGTGTTCAACGATTGTTCTTCAGTAGTTTTATATATGTATGTATATTAACAACCCTGTTCAGCTTTGTGTGAAAAAGATTGTTTGCAGTGGGGTCGGTTGGTTGGTCTGTGGTGATGTGTTTGTCTTTGATAGTTGCTATTAAATGGTGCTGATAAACAATTCAAATTTAAAACCAGAACTAGAAATTTGCGTCTCATCCCAAGTTTTATCGAGAAAAAAAAACAAATCATTAGTTTCTGCCATTTTTGGCTCGTAGAATGCATATATGTATGTTTCTCAAATTCACTCTGAGTAACTTGTAGATCAAAATGAATAAGACAGCAATATGTGGACATATGCAACTCATTAAATTTTAGACAAAATCGGTTAAAGCATTAAAATATGCGATTTAACCCTGGCTCAGGTCTTTGTTATTATTGAGAGTGTGTGTTGGTGTTTATGTGTAAATTTGTATGCACTCTTTTATACTTTTTTTATAACCTCGAGTTACAATAAATTCTATTTTGTTCGCAGTTATTCAACAAAAAAACGCCGCAATTTAATATTTCAGTATTTTCGCATACTTCAATGCGGTTTCATACAACTATATCTATGTACATATATGTATGTATGTATGTATATACGTTAATAAATTTTAATACATTCACTTTTTCACTTATTGTTAGTATGTAGTATGTATATGTATAATATTGTATACTAAGTATTATTAAATTTTGTGTTCTTGTTTCTTCTTGTCTAATTACAATTCTTTTTTTTTAATTTAACTACAAATACACACAAAAGTTAATGTTTTCCTATTATATTTTGAAATTCAATTTATGATATACATATGTATATATTCACACTTTTCGGTTGTCTATAATAACTAATTTTTGTTTTAATACATATGCATTTTCTGCAACATACGCATGTATATCGTAGTTTTCTGCTGAACACCAGTAAAGACCAATTTCCAGTTTGATTTCCATGTTGGTACTTGCAGTGCCTTAGTTACATACTACTATGTATGTGTGCCCCAGCTAGCCACGTATACACATACATCTTTCCAAAAGCACAGCTCGTATGATCCTCCTCCTTCCCTTGGCTTATGATTTTTATGATTCTTTTTAAGATATTCCCTAATTCTTGCTCACTTTTAAGTGAATTTAATTGAGCTGATTGGCGATGCTATTGATGAATACATACATACATGTACATATGTACGCGTATGTAATTAGTTTTACAGTTACGTTTAATCCTGTTTGTGTGTCTGTTAGTTTTATGCTGATTTCTGCTTTTCGAATAGTCGTTGAGTACCGGCTGCTGTTTGTTTACCTTTTCTTCTTAAGCTTGCGATTACATAGCAACACATTTTTTGTTTACCATAAAGCGTGTTCTTGGAGAATTCAATTAGTTTGCTCGCTGGCATTTTAAAATGAAAGGTACGCCCAACAGCTGTATTCCCATTGTCTTTATGTAAATTACTCTTGAATAAATTTCTAGATGCCACTAACGATTTAAAAGATATAGAACATTGCGATTTTAAGGGAACGGCAATCTATGCTTTACATACCCTATAAATATATCCACAAATGTAGGAGTAAACAGCAATTATCTTATAATCAAATGAATTAAAGTCGATTGTCTTATTTAAAAGTGCGAATGTATGAAGATTTTAGCTAAAAACGCCCCAAATGTTTTACGAAATAAATATTATTTAAATGAATTTTAAATGTTTTTGTCCAAAGAAATGAAGCTGCAATTGTTGAGATTCTAAACTAATAACCCCTTGGTCTACGTTTCAATCTAAAATGACGTCATGTATGTATATACTATCAATGATTCGATAAATATTTAGTTGGCTTCAAATTTGCTTCGTCTGCCTTTCCATACAGCTAGAAACATGGTAAGTAAATAGGGATCAGTATCTGCACACTAAATATATATACGGCTAGCTACATTGGAAATACTCATACTTAGCCAGCCAGGGGCCTAAATTTATATTTTAAATTGCACTCTACAACAAAACGTTTATATACCACTGTGTCCTTCAACTTCGGATTTTCAAACGTATAGGCGCTCTTAACCGACACCGACGGCTGTGAACTTATCACTGCGAGCTTTTTGTGGGACTTTTCAAATACAAAAAATAGTATTTTCAAAAAAAAAAAAATCAAATAATTTTGCTAACACTTTCCTCACTTCACTGTCGCATAACTCAGTCCACCGCTTCACTTTCAGCTTCCCTCCTAAAGCTCTTTTATATTCAAATCAGCACTGCACTTTTCATAAGAGTAAATCTGTTTCAGTTTGTTTTTTATTGGCTTTTTCTTCTTATTCTAGGTTTACTAATAAAACGAACAAATTTGTTTTTGATTGATTTTCATAAAAATACATTCCACACTTCTTGTACGCATGTATGTATGTATATAATATAATATATACTGATCGGTACTTGTTCTGTTCATTTGCTTATTTATGCATATAAATTTGTTTATATTTTAATATTTTACTTCACTTTTCTTATGCTTGTATAAATTTTCCACTTTTGCTGCTGTTGCTGTTTTTAAATTTCTGTTCTAAGATTCGATTTTTAGTTCTTTTTTTTGATTTTATAATGAATAATACTAAAAATGCAGCAACTTCAAGTTAATGTATGTATGTATTTTGTATGAAATAAAATCATCACCTTAAAATGTTTTTGTATTTTTATGGCCTTATTCATAAAAAAAGTAGCTTTAAAAAAGGTTTATAAACTGAAAAATTTATGAAAACGTCATTTTATATAGATCCTTAAACCTACTATATTTGTTATGAATAAGACCATTAATGTTTTGAATATTATTATTTTTTCGTTTCCATGGTCCTCTGCAATAACACAACGCAAAACTAAAAAAAAAACTTCACTACTGTTAAGTGGCTCATGTCTCTATTCCCACTAAAGTAAGTAGTAATGTAATTAGTAAGAATTAGACATGGATTTGACAAGGATTAGACATATGAGGTCCTTAGCAGTTGTAAGAGATTTTTTTTTTTGAGTGTTGAGTTGTGTCGTTATTGCAGAGGAACATCGAAACTTCCAATCAGATATATTTTTGTAATTTTTGATTTTAAATATGGAATTTTTCTTAAAGTTAAACTTGTAAACTCAGTTGCATACATCCCTATGTGTGTATGTGTGCTGGCATCAGCTGATTATCATATGCATGTATATTAAACACACATACGTACTTACATACTTAAAAACATGCACTTTTTATTTATGTTTTACTTTACTTTGCTGTAATTCCTTGTTGCTACTGGTTTATTACATTTTTTACTTAGGATTCCTTGTTTTCCTTTGATGTACATTTGTATGGGTGAATGTATGTATGTATGACGCTTTTGCATGCGCATCTGTGTTTGTATGTATTTCACGCATTTCTTACTAAATTTCCTTCAACTTTCGACGCTTACGGCAATGGTATTCTTATTAAATAATTAAATGTATGCATCTTTTGTTCAATAATATTTAACTTTCACTTTGTCTATAATTAAATATTTCATATTGTATAAGTATATAATTTATGTTTGTTCTAAGTGTATGTAATAAGAATTTTAGTAATAACATTTATCAGCAAAGACATAAACCAGCCAAATTGTATTCCTAGTCTGGGAACTCCCTCTCTCTCTACCAGTTAGTTCATATGTTAATTCTTTTTAATTATCTCGTGTTTTGTCACTTAGTCAGTTGCAGTTTCTTTACTTATACATATGTTGTGTATTTTTTTTACGAAACACAGCTTTCTAAAATATTTTATCGCATTGAACATATATTTATGTATGTATCTACTTAAGTTTTCATTTCACCTTCTCCATATCTTGTACCTCCTATACTAATAAAAAAAGAGTACAATAAATTTGCATTTGTATAATTTTTAAATTTGCTTTGAATTTTACTCTTGCATTTTGCGAATATCTGATTCATTATCCGTTATTTACTTAAACACCTTCTCTTTTACATAACTGCGACTTCTCATCTAAATTCAGCTCATACATACAATACATATTTATTATAAGTTATTTTATTATTTAATCTGAATTTGAATTTCTGCTGCGCTTACATAAAATATACTATACAATACATATGATATTCTTTAAATGTGATTTTTTTTTTTTAAATTACACCAAAGCTATTATTTCTGCAATTGTAGTTTTACATACTATGATTTATGGTAGTTTAAAATGGTGGGTGGGTAGTTTATTGGGTTTTTGAAATTTGTGTGCAATTTTTTGTATGCATTTTTAGTTTGCGAAAAATTTCTTCAAAAAAATATTTTCTTCGGATTTTATCTATATACGTATGTATGTGTGTATATAAAGTATGTTGAGAGATTATCACTAATTCAATTAAAAGAATGATTACAAATGGTAGCAATAATTTCCTGAATAATAATAATGTTAAAAAAGATATAGTGAGCGACAAAACATGTAAATATCAATTCATCTATCAGTTAGGCTGTGTAGAGATAGTTGTTGTTGATTGTTGTTGAGTCTAAAGTTTAGTAAAATCTGTATACTACAAATTTTGTTGTTGTTCATTTTCTTCTGGAGTGGTAAAATTGGGTTTAGGTTATGTAATTATCCTTGCTGATTCCTTGTTCTTTATTTGTTGTTGCTATTTGCTATTTGTTTGCTGACTTTTACGATTTTTCTGCGGTCGTTCTTGGATTCATTGCGAAATGACTATTGTATGTATGTAGCTTGAGTTAAGGGTCTCCATTGATTTCTGCTGCTGCTGAAAATCTACTGTTCTTATTTATTTTTCTGCTGATAATGTAATGATTTCCTCAGTTCCTCAGTATTGCAGCTAATTTTATTTTTATATTAACAAAGTAGCTGCGGCTTAGATATTCGACTTGGAGAAACTGACGCGCAAGTGGTTCGACTCCGATAGCTGATGATTGTGCATTTTGATGAGCGCCAAAACGGCATCTTCCACCGATGAGAGCTGGAGTAGCGCCATTTTGCGGTCCTTGCTGCAAATTGGATGGATAAAAAAGTATTTTAATTATAAATCAGCATTTAAAAATATTAATATAATCATATACTATTCTTAATACAGTACTTACTGAAGATCTCTTTTCAAGAGATGCGAAATACATTGTTCTACATAAGTACTTACTGTCATATCGACGGCTGAGTGGAATGACTCGGCAGCCTACTCAAAAACGCCCTATCTCAGAAAATGACTCAAGAACGTCCTACTTCAGAATTTGATTAAGGAACGCCAAACCTCAGAATGTTGTGCAACGGAAGATATATTATATATGCTGATATAGGGCATTTTTGAATCGGCGGCTGAAATAGGGTGTTCTCAAACGAATTTTTGAGATAGGCGTTTTTCACGCAAATTCTGAAATAGGGTATTTTTGAAAAAAATTTCTGAGATAGGGTGTTTTCGAATCGGCTGCTGATATAGGTCCATCTTCAACTCAGCCGTCGATATTGAGATGATTTGAGAGATATATTCAAAAATGGTCATCAATTTGCACATATTTGCAACTACATATTTTGAGCAAAATAACTCCCGATAAAGTTAGCCGATTAGGACATATTGTTAAATCTATTTAGAATACTGCTTTACTTCTTTATTATTTGCTTTCGTATTCGCAATCAGGGCGAAGCTTTTACATAAGAAATTACTACACCGTGCGACAAAAACCAAAAATGATTAAAACACACGAAAAAATCAATATATTCACAAAACTAGGAGCCAAATATAGTAAAAGTCATTTTTAATTTTTCTCTCTAAATTCAGGATTTTTTTAAAGGACTTTGAAATTTCCTACCTTTATTAGTTTCAGATAAAAAAAATTTACACTTCTCTTATAAGATATTGATAGTTACAATATACATAAATGAAGATATTGGAATCATTATACTGTACAGCATTCATATTGTTACACATGAAAATAAAATCTGCGTAAATATAGCGAAAACTTGCGTACATTTTACGAAAGTTTTCGTCATTATGAGCCACGAAAGTTTTCGTTGATTGTACAAAACCGTTTTCCTACATACTACGAAAATATGAGACATCAGATCTTAGTACATTTTACGAACGTATTTGTACTATTAACGAACGAATTTCGTACTACTTACTAAAGAATTTTGTACTATTTCTTTATTTTCTACGAAATTTTTGTAAAATGCACAAAATAGTATATTTAACGAAATTATTTTCCTAAAAACTGCGGTTGTTTCGTAGAACTTCCGATTGCTTTCATTCACCACCCTGTAAAAAACATAAGACGAATTATAATACAACTCTTTTACTTTGCTTTTATTCCTAATTTTAAGCATTTTTCTTTAACAAAATGTTTAGCAATTTTTTTATGTGGAGATGCTTGGCAGATTCGCAGCTGCTTAAATGTTTGTTTCCTTTCTCGACTATAAATTAAAAGAAAATTATAAGGCGTCTGAAAGGCAAGTTTCAGTGAAAAATCATTCATGTACTTACTTAAAATTTCACTAAGTAGTGCGTCTGTTCCTGGCTTGGGCTTGCCGTTGATAGCTAACTGATGAAATTACCTATTTATGAAGTCCCACATTGCAGAGCAACGCTCAGCGTGGGCGATGTTAAAAACATTGTATGCTTAAAAGCATTTATCCACAGCTTTAACATATAATTTTTTATTGTATTTTTATCCAGCAAAAGCTTCTTAAAGCTTTTAGAATTGTATTATACGTCTCACAGTAGCCAATCAGTAGTTGGCAGCAATGACACGCAGTACATAAAAATATGGTGAAATATTAAACTGACGGTAATTTAGTATATTGTACGAAAATATTCGTCTGTTGAACGAATTTGGAACAAATGTTTCTGTATTTGTTCTATGTACGAAAGTATTAAGTAAATTGTACGAATACAGAATTGTAGATTCCGTAAATTTTAAAACCATACGTAAATATTACGAATGCCTTCGTACAATATACAAAATTATTCGTACAGAGATTTTTTCCGTAATTTACGAATGTGTTTCGTAAAATAAACGAAAAATTTCGTAAATTGTACTGAAAAAAGGCTTTACGAAAGTCCTTTCGTTATATTTACGAACGGTTCGTAAAATCTTGTTTCGTTTTGAAAAATGTGTTCGTATTATGAACGAAAGTTTCGTACATTGTACAAAAACCAAGACTTTTACGAAATTTTATTTTCAGTGTATTCTACAATGCACTGAATCTTTTGAATAATTTTTTTATTCAATCATATTCTAAAAATTCCAAAGTCCTTTTAAAACAATCCTGACATCAGAGTGAAAAACTAAAAATGCAGTTTTACGATAGTTGACCTGCAGTTTTGTAATATATTGATTTTTTCGTGTGTAAAATTCACTGTTGCACGGTGCTATCAAATGCTACAGGTATAACTTTGTTTTTGTACTACCGAGATAGTATTAGAAGACATGTTTTTTTCAATGTACCGTTTTCACAAAAAAAAGCAGCTATTACAAAATGAGCGAAAAATTATTTTTGAGTACTTACGGGAAAAATTTGAATGCCTTAACTTCAAAGTTGTTGGTGATGAATGCTTCCTTGATGTCTTCCTCAGTGCACGATGATCTATTTGATATTAAAGAATTAAAAAAAAAATTTAGTTAATTATTTCCTGCATGGTTATATCCTCGTTAAAAATTCTTAATGCATATTTATGTACGTATCACCAATGTATCTATCGAGCTCTATTTTCGGCATTTTTTATTTCTCCCTTAAATAGTGAAATAATTTATTGGGATTTAAATGGTCCCTGGTCAGATGAACATCTAACTAGAAACCCGTTTTTTTCTAACAACGATTGCTCCTTGGCAAGCAATGGAAAACCTCCGAAGGTATTTCTCCCTTGAAAAGGCTTCTCATAAAAATAACTAGCCGGTTGGAAGCGGCGTTAAACTGTGGGCCCCTCCAAAATGTTATTATTAAAGGCATAACAAGCGTTACGCCGAGCTTCTCCTCCGATTTGTGGCGTGCGCATTGATATTGTTACACAAAGGAGAGGGACCAACAGTTTTACGGCGAATCCGAACGACGATTGTATTTTTATGAGAAGTTGTTTTTTACGGCAGTAATACACTCGGAGCTTTGCCATTACCTGCCGAGGGGCGAGCGCTGTTAAGAAAAATAGTTTTTCTATATTTTTTTGCGATGCTGCTTTGACCAGGGCTTAAACCCAGGCCATGCAGGGTGGTAGCGCGCACTACGCAACATCGGTCGCCCTGAGAGGCAATTGATCGATCAAAATATTGGCAAAATATGTACACTGCCATTGAGCAGAACAAACTAAAAATAAACTTTAATTGCTTGGTGCATCTACTACATAGATTATCTACAAATTATCTTGCAAATGTCTGTTTAATTTCCAAACAACCAACACCAAAAACAACGACAATGGAACTACTAAATATATGTTATTTTATTTCGTTTTTGCAGTTGAAGTTACCGAGTTAATACACACCAAATCTGTTTTTAAGTTATTATTTGTAAACATTTCTCTAAATCGATGAATAGAAAAACCGCATAAGAAATGCTCAAGAAAAGTTTATTGTTAAGCAGTACGGAGTTCATAAGAAATTCGCTACTATGGGTTTCTAAAGTTTGTTTGTGAAGCAAGAGCACAAGGCCCCCTTGTTTTAAATACACATATGCCCGTTCCATTATTTCATAAGAAAAAACTGAGACAGCAGGCTATGAAATATAAAATGTAACAATTCCTTAGACACTATTATTCACACACACGAAATGTAGCAATTTTTTTCTTGACCGTTTTCTTAAGAGGTGCGTACTTAGCTTTATATGTACATACATTGAAATTAGCAAAATAAGCTCGATCGTTAAAATTAAGCTTGGAAACCCTGAATAAGCAAAAAATTGCGACCCTGGTTATAACTCAGTAGTATTTATTACCTACAAATTTGCAACAAAAAAATTTCAATACATTTTCGCTTACGATATAATCGCAAATAAATAGGGCTCGATACGTGTGTTTGCAATTTTGTATAAATTTTTCTAGCTACTTAGGAATTTGGCATTATTCTATATTTGCCCTGTTGATCTTTTACTGCTTTACTGTGTTCTGGCTTCGACAACTCTTTAAATTTCACGCACAAAATACATGTATCCCGCGTTCTAGCTCTTGAGCAGGTAAGTGCTTGTGAGTAACCAACCATATCAAGCTATTTACATTTGTTCGAATATCCACCCTCCACTTTTGTTGCCCAACAATTAACCAATTTTGTTGTCTTCGTTTATTATTACTTTTGGTGTTAAACGCTATACCTTCGTTGCGCGTTATGACACTTTTTGCTGGTGTTCAATGGAACACCTTCAGTACTCACGCAACGGGTGAGAACATTTTTAATAATATTGACGGCATGCGGTACTGGGTATTTAGTGCGATCCTACAGCCCTTCACTGTACACCGAGCAACCAAATACCGCCGCTATCAGCTGCACATTTGCTCCATAATTTCACAATTCATCTATTTTATATAAAGTTGTGCCGATTTCCCAGGTATCGTCAAAAATTGTCTGTAACAGAAGCTAGTGCTAAAATGTTAAAGTAATTTTTATTGACACAAACTGTGCGGGAAGGGAAGCATTTATTGTTAAGTCAACGTTCGTTTTATAACGGTAATTGTAATTGCAGCTGAAAAGTATGCAGAAGCAGTTGGAAGCGATGCTAAGGATAACAAGCAGCAGCAGGCAGCCAAGCGAAGCTCCTCAATATCATATTATAATAAACGTCGCCGCCCTGCTGAGTCCTTGTGCGGAACATCACCAACAGCATCAACGAAGAAAAATTCAAGTGTAAAATTCAATATGTTCGGTAGGAAAAGTGTGCTTTTATATTGAGCTGGCTAGATAGCTAATTCGCACCCTCTTTTCAGAAAAAATATATGTACGTATGTACATACATATACATATATGGTTTATGATCTATCATATCATATTATCATACCTTCAGATAAATCTTAAAGAATTCATAGATAAATCACTATTTCCTTATCCGGAGGTTGCCTCATTTTTCAATTCGAAATTTCTGAAGAAAATCCGTATAGAAACGAAAGTAATGCTGCGATGTGAAGAATTATTTTCAGACGTTTCATTAAGAAATCGTACAGAAATCTCTTCACGAGTTCGTGCCAACCTTTTCATATGATTTCCTTGAAGCTTCTCAACAAAATCGTTAAAGAATTTCGAATACACTTCAGCTACTCTTAATGATTTCGGTAAGACTTCGGGTACTTTGGTTTGGAAGGTCTTCACATATGCATGTATGTATTTATGTTAGGGTGACCGTTCTTTCCCAAGTTGTAGTTTTTGCTCTAAAATAAATTGTACAATCCAAAAAGCGTATACTTTAAAAATTAAATCGCGCTGAAATCAAGTTACTTTTCCCATGTAAATAACACGGGATTTTTGGACCTTTTGCGTTTAGTTTTCTTCTCTGGGGCAATGACAAATGAATATGTTTAAAGAGAATTCACTCTTTCGTGTGATTTAACGATCAATGCACTCCCCCGAAAGTCATTTAGCATTCAAATGGTGTTCATGCACTCAAAAAAAGGTCTCATCAGAACGATGCTATTTAGACATCAACGTGAAACTTTCGGGTATGTATTTATTTTTCCCCATTAATCATCTTATCTAAATCATAGTTTTCATTGTTAAATTGAAATATTTTTCGTTGTTACATTGAAATTTTGGCTATGCAGGCCTCAATCTGATATTGTAAAGGAAAAAAAAATTATGTTTTTACAAGCTTTTATTTAACTTGCTCTGTATCTACTGTACTGGAGTGCAATGGGGTATAGTCATTGCGCTGGGTATGCAGTTACAGTTGCATGGCTATACTCAATCCCGACTCTTGCGTGCTCGTTCGCGCACTCCTGGCAACGTGAGTAACCCATGTGCGAGATGCGGTAACCAATCCGAGTGGAGCCTTGGGTCACGGCAGAAAGAGAGGGAGCTTCGGTGGGGCCACTCTGACTTATTCGGTTTAAGGGCTCACTGAAGTCTGCAGCGTCTGTTCACCAGTAGGTGCGGCTTCAAGCGGGTGTCTGCTTGGAGCAAGCGGCTCGCTATATAAAGGTGTATTTGGTTGCGAAACCACCCCCGTCCCAGCAATGGGTTGTGCGCTGGGCTTGGGACCCGCCACGTAAAAACCACTTCCAGTGAAGAAGCAAGGCAAAACCTCGGATGAGACCCCCCCTTATGATGACGACCACGGCAAACGTTTAAAGGTCTACGATTTGAGGGCATGCGCCTGGAATGTCCGGACCCTTAATGGGGAAGGTGCCTCTGCCCGGCTGGTTGATGTCCTCGTAAGGACAAAAGCTGACATCACCGCCATCCAAGAAATGCGTTGGACGGGGCAAGGCAAACAATGTCTGGGGCCTTGCGACGTCTACTACAGCTGCCATGTAAAGGAACGCAGATTCGGAGTTGGATTTGTGGTGGGAGAGAGACTCCGTCGCCGAGTACTGTCGTTCACCCCGGTGGACGAGCGTCTAGCCACAATCCGCATCAAAGCGAGATTCTTCAACATTTCGCTCATCTGCGCCCATGCCCCGACGGAAGAGAAGGATGAGGCATCCAAGGATCTCTTCTATGAGCACTTGGAGCGCACGTACGAGCGCTGCCCCCGTCATGATATCAAAATCGTGCTTGGCGACTTCAATGCCAGGGTGGGCAAAGAAGGGATCTTTGGAACCACCGTGGGAAAATTTAGCCTCCACGACGAAACGTCCGGCAACGGATTGAGGCTGATCGACTTCGCCGGGGCCCGAAACATGGTAGTATGCAGTACTAGGTTCAAGCATAAAAAGATCCATCAAGCTACCTGGCTGTCTCCGGATCGAAAAACGAGAAACCAAATCGATCATGTTGTGATAGACGGAAGGCACGCTTCCAGTGTTTTAGACGTACGCACACTCCGAGGCCCAAACATCGACTCGGACCACTATCTTGTTGCAGCCAAGATACGCACCCGCCTCTGTGCAGCAAAAAATGTGCGCCGAAATATGCAAGGAAAGCTTAACATCGAAAAGCTGCAATCACAACAGACAGCCAGCGCTTTCGCTACTCGACTCTCACACCTGCTCTCAGAGAGCACTCTTCAACAAACCGACATATGCGAGCAGTGGAACCACATTTCCCGCTCATTAAGTACCGCCGCCGAAGAAGTAGTCGGATTTAAGCGAGCCCGAAAGAACAACTGGTACGATGAGGAGTGTCAGGAAGCTGCAGAGAAAAAAGATGCCGCCTACAGGGCCATTCTGCGATCGGGCGCAACGCGTGCTATGTGGGACCGCTATAGGGATCTGAAGAGGGAAGCGAGACGTACAGTGGCTCACAGCTTATTTCGTGCAGCTGCAAAATAAAACTTTTTAACCTTATAGAAGGAAAACTAACGGCGATATCAAAAATGTTTAGATACACAATTTTTATAAAAGTATTTTTTTTATCTAAACAGGAACTTCATTTTTATATTTTTAAGTATTAGGGTTATTTATTTAACAAAAGTTTTTTGTATATATAAAATTAAGGTCACAGCTTTTTTCGTAC